TGACCAGGGAGGGGTGGTCAGCGGGGTTGAGGGGGGCGGGCACCTGGGCACCAGCCTCGCTGCCTCTCACACAAGTCCTGTGGCCTTTTTTTCATTGCACACGAACATGGGGGACTTTGGTGTGAGCTTCAATCCACACACAGAATTATCCGGGGCCCCTGACCACTATCCACCTCTTGCTGTCCGTCCCCAGGCCCCTCACCCTCATCGCCTCCTCACTGAGCTCAAGTGTCTCCTTTCAAACCTGCCCCCCCTTCAGGTTCCCCCAGTCTCCGGGCCAGACCCCCACCTCTCTTCTCACGTCCTCTGACCCCTTACCACCCACAGCCACGCCCATCCTGCCCCTTTGCTCTCTGCCTAGTTCCTTCCTCCGTGTCCCCAGAGCCCGGACTCAGGGCTCATCCTCTCTCCCACCTCCTGCCTCCAGCCCCTCTCACTCCTGCTCATCCTCCCTCAGGCCCCAGACCAGGCCGCCCTCCCCAGGGCTCCACAATACCCCCAGGCCCAGTGTAGTTGGTACCACCCCCCACTTCCCAGCTTAGCCCACCCTCACCCCCACTTTCCACCCCAGACCCGTCCATCCGGGCTTCACCTCCTGCAGCCGCAGCACCTCCGCCTCCAGCCCTTTCAGGCGCTTGTCACTCTCCCGGTTCTGGGCAAAGATCTCCTCCCGGGAGGTGCGTGTCTCCTCCACCTCCCGCCACAGCTCCTTCATCTGGGCCTGCGCAGAACAGAGGGGAGGTTTATGAGGGGCGGGGCAGGACTTGAACCCAGGCCGTCCGGTTTCGGGGCTTACACTTCTAGCTGCTTTGCCACCTGGTTAATATGGCTTTGAGTGTGTAAGGGTTTTCTCTTCAAGGATGCTTAAAACAAAGGAAAATTAAACACAGCCCAGCTGGCATGGCTCAGTGTTGGGTCGACTATGAACCAGGAGGTCACGGTTCAATTCCCAGTCAAGGGCACATGCCCGGGTTGCAGGCTCGATCCCCAGTAGGAGGCGTGGAGGAGGCAGCCAGTCAATGCTTCTCTCTCATCATTGATGTTTCTATCTCTCTCTCCCTCACCCTTCTTCTCTCTGAAATAAATAATTTTTTTTTAAAGAAAAAATAAACACAAGCCACCATGAAAACCCTCACTCTATTTTTACAACAGAATAGTGCATAGCTACTAGTAACCATAGTGAGGGCAGTAGCGGGCTTGAGGGTAGTAAGACCGTTGTCACTGTTATGAATATTATTTGCTTGGCCCTAGCTGGTTTGGCTCAGCGGACAGAGCGTCGGCCTGCGGACTGAAGGGTCCCGGGTTCGATTCCAGTCAAGGGCACATGCCCGGGTTGCAGGCTCGGTCCGCAGTGGGCAGCGTGCAGGAGGCAGCCGATCAATGATTCTCTCTCATCATCAAAGTATCTCTCTCTCTCTCTCTCCCTCTACCTTCCTCTCTGATATCAATGAACATGTTTTTAAAAAAATATCATTTGCTTGATAATAATAGCTTCTCAGTGTAGGCGTTTTCTCTCGGGGACTACATTGTGGCAATTCTTACTTCCGGTGTGTGTGGGGGGTGGATCTTTCTGCCCCAGAGCTGCCCAGTGGAAATGCACTAGGAGGACATAAGCAGTTTCACGAGAGGTGAAATGAGTGTGAAGGAAAGTCTCTATCTCTCTCTCTCTCCCTCTACCTTCCTCTCTGATATCAATGAACATGTTTTTAAAAAAATATCATTTGCTTGATAATAATAGCTTCTCAGTGTAGGCGTTTTCTCTCGGGGACCACATTGTGGCAATTCTTACTTCCGGGGCTTGGGGGGTGGTTCTGCCCCAGAGCTGCCCAGTGGAAACGCACTAGGACAGTCATGGCGAACCTTTTTAAAAAAAATATATATTTTATTGATTTTTTACAGAGAGGAAGGGAGAGGGATAGAGAGTTAGAAACATCGATGAGAGAGAAACATC